TGGACTGGATCGGACACAGGAAGTAGGGCCCACCTGGACTGGATGCGGTCCCCCGGGTTGTAGAAGGGGTTGCACATCACGTCTGTGTAGGAGTTGTGTAGCTTCCGGAACATCTGGAAAAGACCCAGCAAACTGTGACATTGCCAGGTACACACAGCCAGTGCCAGATTTGTGGTTTCTCAGCATTTCAAAACAAAGTCAAAAAGGAAAAACAAAACACCCACTCGGGCATGGCCTTCTAACCCCGACTTACACTGCGAATTTCTAACCCCGACTTACGCTGCGAATTTCTAACCCCGACTTACGCTGCGAATTTCGTTGTCTCGAAGGGCTGTGTTGGAGGAATCCACCACCATGACAAACTTCACCTTGGAATTGGTGACGTAGCCGTACCTGCACAGCTGGTTAGGGAAGGCACTCGCAACACAGGGACTGCTGGCGGAGGACCCTCTGCGGGCCCTCCCTTTGGAGAAACGTGGCAACCTTGAATCACAGGAAATGCCCAGGCTGGGCTGCTCCTGCAGTGACCATGCTGGGTGCGAGCCTAAATACTTCGCTAGGGCAACGTCTGGTGTTTGCGGGAGAAGCAAGGGGCAGGCAGCCAAGCCTCGGCCAGTTCACACTCCAAGAGCCGAATCGCCTAGACTCTGAGTCTGTCTGTCTGGATCACCTCACCCTCCTTAGGAATCAATGCCTGGCCCAGAAAGTTAACTGCAAAAGCAGAGGCTTCGTGAACAAGGCAGATCCCCTCTCTAGAGGCCACATTATTTTGTAAAATAGTGGCTACCAGCAAATATCACCATGGACAAGCTACATTACCGCTTTTGGGAAGGCCTTTGAACTCCATGGCCTCAAGTGATTTGTCCCAAGGGACTAGACGAGAGTGTCTAGTGACGTACAAGGCAAGGCCTAACAAAATAAATGAAACCGTTATCCCCTGCTCAAAGGTGGTGGCTCCCCCTGAAAAGCACAACAAGAAATCCTTGCAGGTACAAAGCAGAAGTGTCCCAGTTCCTCTGCAAACCAGACAACAGACACGTGCAAAGCAAAACATTCTATAGGGCATTCTAGCCTTGCTTTTCCCAAATGATTCTTCCAATGAGAGAGAGAGAAGAGTTAGAGGCCTTCATTCACCTCAGGCGTCCCTAATTTCCTGGCTGGCCAAAAACTCTCACCTCTCTTTCTTTCTTCTCAAAGGTTTCAAGCTATCTGATCCTAAAGTATACCCGGCAATTGTAGGTACTCCCTGACACACACCCTGCCCTGAAAGATACACCTTGTAGTCCTCCGTGGGGTAGAGCAGGCCCAGGTACAGCTCCCTCTGGTCGACCAGGGCCTTCCCCATTGCGGAGATCTTCTCATCCACCACGTCCAGAGATGTGTGCACCATGTAGTGGAACCTCAGCTCGTTCTCCGTGGGGGTGCTGCGAATGTAGAGGGGGTAATTCTGCAAGAAAGGATGACGGCGACTGAAAGGACAAGACTCCACCCAGCGCACACCAGCTCTGAACTATGCTGCAGAGCCGTGACCTTCAGCCACCCGGGGAATGCATTCCCATTCTTTAAGGCCCACCGCTTCATTCTCCAGGCCACAGTGGGCACTGCCTTCAGGAAATCCCATCTAACCTAAGAAGATTTATGTGTTGTTTGCAAAGCAGCAGCAGTAGGGTGGCCAGAAAAGACAACTCAGAAAAATGGGCCTCAGCACAGCCTGACGATCAAGCCTGCAACCCGGGCAGGCCTCTCACCTTCTCCTGGAGGCCACTCTGCCTCAGCCCACCTCTAGCTCTGCATGGGTCACCCAAATACAGCACCCTAAATACTGACTTTTCTTCACCTTGACACTGACCCTTTTACTAAACTGTTCAAGACTCAGTTCAAATTCCCTTCATTTCTCATTCCTGACCATTGTAAGCCCAGAATTAATAGCTACTTTCTTGGGCTTTCACACACCACCATTTACCCTGTAAATTCAGCACTGGGTCCTGCAGAAATACAGTAGTCCTCGCTACTCTCATGGGGCTACATGATACCTAGTCGATAAACCCACAAACAAGTAAATGATCATCTGTGGCCAGGAGGGAAGCCCATGAGAAGCTTGGCAGCAGCCACTGCGCAGCAGGGAGCGGCCTCCAGAGTGGTCTCAGGGCAGACCCTGGCTAGGAAATGAAGGCTCTATGCAGCAGGAGTACAGTGTGGATAGCCACCCAGCTCAGTCTCAGCCTTCAGAAAATGCTTTCCAGAAGAAAGGTACATGGGCCAGTAAAGAGGGTGGGAGCTGGGGAGAGGTGTTCCGGGTGCAAAGGCCCAGAGGTGAGAGGGCAAAGCATGTCCAGGGAGCTGCAAAATTGGTTGGTTGGAGCGGAGGGTGCCAAGGGTTATGGGGGGAAAGGATACCAGACCAGGTTATTCAGACAGCATCCCAAGGCAACGAGAAGCCACTACAGAGGTCTCAGGCAGAGGCGTGACAGGATCCGATTGGTTTTTAACTCGGCTCCTGGGAGACTGGCAGAAGGGCCGTACGCGGGGAGCCAGCGCTGGATGGGAGAACCGGCAGAACCTACTGAGGACGGAGGCAGTGCCCCGGACCACCTAGGCTTCTGGTGGGTCCTGGCGGGGAGGAGACCTGGGGCGCCGAGGGGTGCGTTCAGCAGCGGGACGGGCAAGCGCGGAGCTGGGGAGCTCAGGGTCTGCCGGGTGGCTCGTCCACCGCGAAGCCCCTGACCCCTGGAGCTCGGCGAAGGCCTCCTCCAGGTCCCATTTCCTAAGGCGCCTTCTAGGCCCAGGGAAGAAAGACAGAGCGGAGAGGCGAGGAAGGTGCGGGCCCAGACGCCCCGCGCAGCGCGTACGCACCTCCTTGGCGATCACTGCGATGCACACCGCCATCTTGGGAGGCCCGGCGCT